GCATGGTGGTTGCCTTTCTTTCTCGACTGACGTCGATGAAATCATTCTCTGCAGTACCGCCAAGTATTAGAAGTGAACGAAGGAGAGAAGTTGATGCAGAGTCTCTATGCAACGAAGGAGAACAAATCATTTGGAAGCATTTGGGTGGAGTTCCCACGGAAACTGACCCCAATGACGCCGAAACGCTTCGGGTGAGAGCAGGTATCTCGAAAGGATACTACCCATCCTATTTTGAGGAAGCACGCTTATCTGATCAAGGAATAAGGTCCGAAAATGTCAGGACGAACTACGAGAGCCAAAATAGATCGGATCATCACGTGCAACTGATTCCTGACTGGGAAGAAGATTCAGAATTTGTCCCAGAACTAGCCAATGTTTCGCATGCGGAAAAGGGCGTGTTCACACATTCTCTCGGTCCATTCGACATTCACGTTGTATTTCGTGAAAAAAGTGAAGCCAAGACACATTCGCGATATCGAGTATATATCCCCTCGTTGTCATTATTGCCGAAGTCACTCGCCGGCTTTAACGTTTGGTGTGAGTTCCTTCAAAAAGATGAAACCATAGTGAGTGAGCTCTTTATGGGTGGAAGGCAATGCCTTTACCTTCAGAAACAATGGTTTAGCAACCTAGCCTTTATATGTCCTGTGTTTACCGGAATTGTACCACTTACTCACAACACACCCGTGGAGGTCAGCTACAAACTGAAGAAGCATCACGAAGATCTCGGTTCAGATGCGTTCAACCGATCTGGGGGAATGAGGATTGCAGAGTATGTCAAGAAGGCAGCGATAGCTTCCAAGTCAAATGCAAGGAGGATAATACCAAATCTTGTCCACTTCTATAAAAAGAAGAGAAGCGAAAGACGCCGTTCGGAGAAGTCTAATAGCCACCGATTGATGCCATTGAAAACCATCAAGAAGGAAAAGAAAGTTACTCTCAGTTCCGTCGCACAGGGAGTGAATCCTATATATGTGAACAAGCAGAAAGACAAACGCGTTTTCAAGCGGACTGTTGAATCTAAAATTGTAACAAGAACCGGCACTGTTCTCCAGGAGGGCAAAGAGATTCAAACTGCTTTGACACAACAGTCGCAATCTGAGATAGCCGAAATTCAGGAGTCATGGAACAAATCAAGAAAGCTGCGGACAGGAAAGAACTCGATGAGCAGTACTGACATTGAAGATGTGAAAAACAGCTTATCTCTTGCCGTGAAAAGTACTTTTGAGGGATGGACATTTTCACGTATCGCTAATTTCTTCTCAGCGCACGTTCTAAATAGCATTGGAAAATCAATAGACAAGTCCGTGGTATCAAGGCTATTGAGTGGCAAAAAAACTCCCGGAACAGCAATCATGCTTTGTCTAAAGAGTTTCCTGGAAAACGAAGCTGAGGGGCGAACTGTAGAAGATGAAGACGATTCAGTCGTCGCTTCAGTGCTTCCTAGAGCTAAAAGGCGTGTGGAAGAATTAGTTTCGCATCCACGTGACTGGGAGAGGCATCCCCACATCATCACTGAGTACGGTGATTCGAAAGTAACTTTGAATGACCTTCAAAGGCTCGTTATGCCACGAAATTGGAAGGGATCTGATGAAGAGCTCTGGATAACAGATGATTGCGATAATATAATGACAAATCTGTTTTCCAAACTACGTCCAGCGTCATACACGTACTACTTTAGCACCCTTCTCATTCAGAGTATTGTCGAAATTTATCATGGCAAGGGCTCGTTTGTATGTATATCCGAAAACGACAGAAGGAAGAAGTTTGAAAGAATCGCGGGCAAACAAACAACCGCGCGAAGTGGACAGGCACACTCGTTCGCAGATTCAGAGAAGGCATTTGCCCCTTGCAATGTTCTAAACTTGCACTGGGTGGGTTTCAGATTGGAAAGAAGGAACAGGACTGTGACGTGCGTGGATTCGTTAAGAGACGCGCTGAGCCAAAATCAATACTACATCAACGCAGTTCATGAAGCCGGAAATGCTGTTGCTTCTTTTGCAACGCAAGTCGATGGAGAACAATGGAAATGGGCTGGGAGTGATAGGAAGTTTCCCCAGCAATCAAACAAGAAGGACTGTGGCCCAATAGTGCTACTGGAAGCACGAAACTATAATCTTGGCTTTTGTACTTCACCAATTGCGGTCCGAGAGGAATCTATAGCTGCATGGAGGGTAAGGTTTGCGCATGAGATAATAGTTTTAAGATGTACATAACGTAGTGGTGACTTCATCAATTGATTCATACTGGTTCAAGACTCTTGATAAAGCGGATGTATTACCCATATGTTTGGAAGTTCATGGCTGGACAGTTTCCGACACAAACATGGCCGTGTTACAAAGACGCCTGAAGGTAGGGCTCATCTTCATTCTATCAAATAATTCACAATTATCGACTGCAATCAAGACTGCAGTCATGTATGTCAGTCTTTTCTGAACCCATGCTGCAAGACTATAAGATATTGTATCGATACAGTACTTTTACGTTGTTGCAAAGGAAGAGCGAAAGTAGTCATAGTAACTACTCTGACTCACCAACAGCTGATGAAGACCTCATTCACAAAAAGCTGAATCAATTTTCAATTACGTGCACGAGTTGATCATCAGTTTTTCGACAAAAGCTCAGAATAGCCAACACGGCAAATTGCATTTCAATAATGTGAAAACTGCATTCTCTGGTAATTAATTCTGTTGAACTCGATTTAGTTCTATGAATACATGGAATAGGGCAGAGTGTTGACAAGATCAGGCAAAAAAGAGCAGTTATGCGAGTCCACATGATACACATGTGCATTGCGATATGATGACAACTCTGAAAATGTAGGAGTGTGGATGGAGTATCACCACGCGTACGTTCCGCAACTGATATCAAAGATTCTAAAGCAGCCAAAATCAAAAAGTATATTTCAAGATGCAAAGCTTTACTTTGTCGATAGACTTGGCGTCAAAGATGAGGAACAATTTCTGTGCTGCCAAATGGCAAGCTGAATACTTCTACGTTTGTCTCTTTGTAAGGTCATATTCATTATGGATTCATTGTCGAAAGTCCTTTCAAATGCTTCAAATGTTACTCCCTCAATATCACCGTTACGAAGATCTTTAACTGCGGCACGTATTTCGTATGCCTTGGTCCTTGAAACCCCATACCGAGTTCTGATTCCGTCTATGGACTTGATAGATGAGCAGTGTATGCTAAAATCCTTTAGGACACGGACAGTATCGCATCTCCCACGATACATTTGAAGAGTATCATTAACATGAGGTGATGTAACGTTCTCTTCTGAAGAGCTGGAAAAGTACAGTTCGAAATCCATGTTTGGTTTGCGATTAACTCCTTCCGTGAATTCATCATTTTGCTCATCAAAAGATTCACGCTCTCTGTACTTTTAGTTCATGAAGTATTCCGATAACTCATTGTCCGATACAGCAGAGTCTTCTGGTGTAGGACAGTGCAGAAAAATGTTCGGTCTTGCTGGCCACTTGGTGTTTTCCGTGCTCGAAGTACTGTTTGCTCTGCCGGTGTTACGCAAGGTTGCTAACCGCTTAGCGACAATAAAGTCGCGGTGACATAAATCCTCCTTGAGGATGAGAATAGCTGCTAAAATATCTTGGCGAATGCGACATGGGTTCCTAGGCGTCATTGCACTACCAACAGCTGTCGCGATTCTACCTGCTTGGTACTCGGTACATACAGTTTCAAACATGGAATCGCTTAGATTGTAGCAAAACTTGAGATGGTCCAACGGATAACTGAATAAAGTCCATGCCCTTTGAGAGTTTACCTGCTTCTGAAGCCATTCTCGCCCACTTTTGGTTCTTTTTAGCCTCTTCTGGGCTTGTATGGAGCTATGAAAGGGGGAACGGACGCGAGAAATGGTCATTGAGGTCTTGATGGAGATTTTTGTCAAAGAATGTTGTCAGGTTACGTGAAATGTGGTTAGCGAGAAGGGATGGGGAAGGGTACGTCTTTGGCTTAGTGTGCTCGAGAAAGAGGCGTAACGCGAGCTTGGAATTAGTGGAAGAGACAACGAAAGGAATATCCGAGAAGCTTATGAACATTTGTCTCAAGGAAAAGGGAAAGACCGTTGGAGCTTCAACGCAATTATTCCCCATTGACATGCAAAGGGAGTCTTCGTAGACTTCTGTATCTGTCCAGACATAATGAGACCTAGGAATACACGAGTTCCTATTTCGGCATTCTGGCGGGAAACTGTTCAGCCTTGCCATGAGGGATGGTGGACCACCATGAGTCTCATATCTGTTGCTTTTGCGTTGTCATAATCGTTGTCATAATTCCTATTTTCACTTTTCTCACGTTGTTATGTTCAGGGAAAGCGAGTTGCACCTCAACTAGAAGCTCAAAATGAATTAGGACCTTGCTGGTGCTCTCCTATTGGTGTAACTACATGCCCTGGTCACTCGAGCTTTCTGGCTGGCCAATAGAAATCGCGTACCGAGTGCTATGCGGACAACGGGGGAATACTGTACCCAACAACAAGCGATACAAGTGTACAACAGCAATGCAAGCTGATCATGAAGTTTGATCCCCTGTTGAATTTACAGTAGAGGAGAGTGCAATAATTGCATGGCAGAAGCATTCGCAGAAGCATTCTAAAAGCCAGCTTTCAGACTTGCTCTTGCACGTCAGACTGAGAAGTCGAATGCACTCTCCTTCAAAATCTTGTCATGCTTTCTCTGCAAATAATGTAGCATAGATTCACATCTCCTGTCCTTTGTACTTTGTTCTTGCATGAACCGTTAGCAGTGTAATTTAGCTGAACCCCCACGCGTCGCTTCTTGAGGCCAGCGGCCTAAGCACGGCACTATCCTAACTAAATACACCGACCCGGCCTTGCGAGGTTCAATATGGCCCAAGCGCAGAAGGAGGCGGCAACAAGAGTGTGATGCAAGATCGATGCCTCTGTTTACTAATATCTGATGCCTGTCTACCTTAGAAAGGGAGGCTAGCTAGGGATCCGTAGGCCGGTGGCGAGTGAGGTGAGCTGATCGTGCTGTCATGCGTGTGCTACGTGTGCACTTATGGCTCCCATGACAAAGAGAAACGCATTTTCGAGCAGTAGGGCTTTACGAGCATATATACTGTACATAAACGCGACGCTGAACGTGGCAGCAACACGCATACCTTGCATCCCTATTGTACATGCAGCAAGCATAATAATAATAATAAAAACAAGACGCCCTCTCTAAAACAGGCCGCCGCCGCTGTTGCCATCATCGCGATACTGTTCGTCAATAGCAATGACGAAGAACACAAGCAGGGCGGCATCATTGCCGGGCTGCACGCGAATGACGTAAGTGTCCTTCCCGAGGAGGAAGTTACTCGCAGTGAAGAGCTTCCTCTGCACGGTGGCGACGGTCCGGCCTCCACTCCTAACAACAAAGTCCTTGCGAACGAGGTTTCCCTTGACCTCGTACAGCGGGGCGCCTGCCTCCTCGTCGCCCTGCCAAGCCTGGATGGTGCCTGTGCCGAAGTGGGGGATGAAGCCCTTTCGGCGGAGGTTGATGACGGTGCGTCCGGAGCTCGGGTCGACGATCTTCATTCGGCCGCGCAGCGAGAGCAGCGCCTCGGACATCTTGTATAGCGGGCGGCCGTGCGAGTCGAGCAGCGACTTGGAGTCCTTGAACGAGAACGCGTTGCCCTTCACCTTGAAGGTCTGCTCGCCCGTCTGCACGTTGGTGATCGAGAAGTCGTCGCCGGACAGCGAGAACGGCTTCTCCTTCAGCTTGAAGTCCACCGCGTGCCGGTACACGTAGCGCGAGGAGCTCGGCGCGCTCGCGGCGGCGGCGGCGGGCGGGCAGTGACTCGAGTGGCCGTGGGGTTTGGGGGCGTGCGATTGGTATGTGTGTGCGGGGTACGCGCCTGGCGGAGGCGGCGGCGGCGCGCCACCGGATTGCGGGGGAGGCGCGTGCCACTGCGTGGCGTTCGTCGGGCCGTGGTGGAAGTACCAACGGCCGTCGGGGGTTTGATGTGCGGTCCAGCCGGGCGGCATGAGGTTTGACATGGTGGTTGGTGAGATGTTGCGTTCTTAGACGTTGATGATTCGGGTATAGTAGACTGAAGTAGACTGAAGATGATTGTCGGGCGACGAGGATAGAGAGGGTACAGGGGATTTATATACTGTAGTCGGGCGGGGGTGCAAGCATTCGAGACGTCCCGTGACGGCCAGACCGTCAACAGTCTGGGAGTCACGGGACGTTTCGAATTTTCTTCGGGGCGCTCTCATTGGCTGGTAGCGTGTGTGCTAGCAGGGACAGGCATGTAGACGGGGCGTGTGGACACTCATCAATTTGGGACACTCTGACACTCATCAATTTGGGACACTCTTGGGCCTCTTGCTCCATTGCTGCCGTGCACTAAATGTGCACACGTGTGCGTAAATCCGCACTCCATTTTTTCTTCGGTAAAGTCGGTTTCGGTACGAGAAGCGGACAACACATGACAGCAATGATGCACGCTACCTGACGCAGCTCGACGCGTCCGGACGAGGCATTTGGACCATTTCTGCATTTCTGTGTTGACAATCCGTTTCGCTGCCATGTCAGCCGGGCATGCCGCAGTCACGTCGAGAAATAGCCCCCCTTACAAATCGTGCATATGACACTCGGCCCTGTAACTACAATTTCGACACGCACCTTCAAACTCCACAATCTCCCCACTTCTCCGCAGCCGTCTCACTCTCTCCCCCGGCTCCCCCCGCACCCACCCTCAGCCACCACGTCCCGCACGGCCTCCCAAAACCGCGCCCCACGCACCGGCAAGTCCTCCTCCTCGACGGCTAGCTCAGCAAGCGCGGCGACAGCCACCCTCCTCATCGCCCTTCCAGACAGCCCCTTACAAACCTCGGCGGCCTCCCTGACATCCCCCGCGCCGCCTTCCACCACGCCCTTTTCCACGAGCTCGCTCACCACACCCTCCAAGATCCTCACCCTTGCCTCCACCCCGGGCTCGCCCACCTCTACGTGCAGGTCCGCGCGGTCCATCAGCGCGGCGTCAATCCCCTCGACTAAGTTGCTCGTCGCCATCACCACGCAGTTGCTGCGCTCGCGCACGGAGTCCACCCCCGCCAGCAGCGCATTGACCACGCGCACGGCGTCGCCTGGCTCGGCCCCGTCCGCCCTCCCCTTGCGACTCAGCCCGACCGTCTCGACCTCGTCCAGCACGACGACCACCAGCCGCCGCTCCTCCGCCAGTCTCCCGACGTCGTCGAACAGCGCGCGCACCTTCTTCGAGCTCTCCGAGAACCACTTGCTCAGCATCTTCTCCATGCGCACCTCGACCAGCACCGCGTCACGCATCCCCATCACCACCGCCACCTTTTGCGCCGTCGCCCGGCACAGCGACGTCTTCCCCGTCCCCGGCCGGCCGTGCAGCAGCACGACCCCGCCCCACCCCACCGTCTCCGCGTCCACACGCCGCTTCCCCAGCAGCCACCCCGCCCGCAGGTACCCCAGCACACGCCGCTTCACACCGTCTGCAAAATGCAGCCGGCCCCACAAATGGTCTAGGCGTGCGCACGGCAGCTCCGTCACAGCCGCCTTGTCGCACAGCGCCCGCGCAGCATGATCGCGCACCGCCTCCCCCCCGCTGTCCTTGTCGTCGTCGTCGTCGCCGTCCCCCTCCGCCTCGGTGCCTCCGGTTTGCTTTTGAATCTCGTCCCCGTAGCACACGTACACACGTGTATGCAGCCTCACCAGCGAGAACGAGACGCTCTCCGTCGCGTCGTTGTCATCGTCGAGCGTGATACCTGCCGACACCACAAACGGCAGCGCCGGCGCGAGCAGGCGCGTGACGTCGCCCTGCGGGAGGTAGAGCGACTCGCTTTCGCGGAGCAGGCGTGTGGTCGTTTGGTGGACCTCGGCGCGCCGCGCCGAGAGCTCGACGCCTATGGGCGGGGGGGTGACGCGCACTTCGAGCACGGCGGTGATGCGGCGGGATGGGGACATGGTGGGGCGTGTGCCGGCATGGTGCGGTCGGGAAGCGGGGATGGAGGGAGGGGTTGTACTGAAAGAGCAAAGGTTTTGGGCGGGACAAAAGAGAAGACGGCGTTGAAGCGAAAGAGTGGTCAAGCGAAAGGAGGGCGAAGTGAAAGGAGGGTTTCTATACACGTGGCCACAGGAACACGTGGCCACAGGAACACGTGGCCGCTCAACGCATTTTGCACTTCAGCCCTCTTGTTTAGCACGGACAAGAGGGGGCGTGAAGATGCAAAGCCGCATTTGTTACTCCACCTTGCCTTCCAAATGCCCTCACCGCCATGCCTCAAGTCGCCGTCCCTCTCTCGCGCGCGCCTCCCTCCGCGCGCCAAATCTCGGTCTCGTACCGCGTGCTGGGGGCCGGCCCCGTTCTCGTGCTGATGGTGCCCGGCATGTGCGTGCCGTCGTCCATGTACGACTCGATGGCCGCCGTGCTCGCGGCCACGGCCCAGTTCACGGCCGTCGTGCTCGACAACCGCGGTATGGGCCGCTCGGACGCCCCGCCGGCCGGCATGCTCGGCGGCCTGGGCTACGACGTCGCCGAGCTCGCGGCCGACGCGTGGCAGGTCGTCGACGCCGTGCTCGCGGCGAGCGCGCACCGCGTCGCCCCGCACGAAACGCCGAAGCTCGGCTGCGAAGACCTTCCCACGTGGGACGCGCCGTGCGCGAGGAACGTCGCGCTCGTCGGCCACTCCATGGGCGGTATGGTCGTCCAGGCTATGATGGCACAGAGGCCGCGGAGAGTGCGGTTTGTCGCTCTGCTGTCTACGCATGCGGGTGGCGTGTGGAATTTGCTGCCGACCGCCAGGATGCTCAGGGACGTGGTTAGGGTCGCGTGGAGCGGGTTCGATCGCGATGTGCACGCGCATGTCAACTTGGGCTTGCACTTTACGGACCGCTTTTTGGAGGACTGGGTCGTGCATGAGGGGGAGGGGGACGGTCGTGACGTCATGGCTGAAGCGGGGAAGCCGGATGGCGGCACGTCCGAAGCTGCTGGGAATCCGTCTTTGCATGCGAGCCCGGGGGAAACGGAGAGTGGCGTGGACGCCGAAATAGAAGGGGCCGAGTTGTCTGGCCCAGATAGCGACTGCCATACCCACATAACTACCGCCACTGCAAAACTTTCTCCAGATGCGAAGCCCTTCCCTGCGGAGGAGGGGCATTCGGGCTCACCCCCAAATCCCTCCCCTAGCAACAAGGACGATGAAGCTGCAGACGACCATCCCACCACTTCTTCCGCCATTTATCACGGGCTCGGCTACTTCGAGTCGAAAGTGGTGGACCTCGTGCGCGACGCCAAGATATACTTCGGCCTCTCCGCCTCCTTCCGCGAGAAGCTCTGGAAGCCCCAAAAGCTGTTGCTGGACGCCATCACGAAGCGGCGCCGCCGCACGCGCAGCCGCCGCCGCGACATCTACCACGCGCGCTATACGGGCGCGGAGAAGGCCGACCCGTCGCATGTGCACCCCAAGCTGCAAGGGGAAGCGGGCGAGTCGACCGCGCTGACAAACCCGGAGGACTCGCCGCACGCGCTGTACGGGCACGCGGCCGTCGTGCGCTCGCACGCGCTGCCGAATACGCTCGCGACAAGGCTCAGGGAATGCACAAGAGTCGTCAAGCTCGTCATGGCGGGGAAGCAGGACAGGGTTGTTACGCCCGCCGCGTCCAGGGCGCTGGCGCATGCAATCGGCGCGAATACGATTGTTGAGGTGGAAGCCGCGCACTTTATCACGGATGAGGCCGCCGCTGAGGTCACTACGCATATCATTTATGGCCTGCGGAAGGCGTTTTACGCGCCGAATGCTCGTCGTTGTGAGTGCTTGTGGTGCGTGGATGAAGGCGCATGAGACGGCGATGGGAAGCGTCAACGTTCCATCTATGTTGATGGCTTGCATCTGTACCCGATGGAAGGCGACAAGGCCTGGAGATGATTGTGTGAGGGTAGAAGGCGTGCAGCAGCTTGGTTGTTTCGTCGGATGTGGAAAGGCAAAGCTTTCGTCAGTCCGGTCCACAGAATTGATTATAGAGTAGATTAGAAACTAACTGCAGTATTGGCACAGCTGCGATGTTTTTTCTCTTCCCAGTGAAGAAGAATATCAGAGGTTCCCGCTTTGAAAGTCTCAGACCAGCAGACCCTCTTCGTCGTTGTTAAATATTATGTCAACAGCCCAGCAACACCCACGAAACAAGTCATTGATTAAACCCAAGCGAGCTGAAACCCGACTCGATATCGTTCCACCTCTTCGCGTTGAAGATCTCATACGCGCTTTTGACAGGCTTGCTCCCGTCCTCACTCCAATCCACAGCCAAGTTAGTCCATACCCCTCCCGAACTGCAGCCAATCTCGCCAAACGTCTCGACATCCAATTCCATTTCATGAACCGGCCCCCGCGCAATATCTTCAACATCGAACACCATCGACTTTGCCGCGCCCCTCTCAGGATACTCACACGTCACCAATACGTTCAAAAACTTGCCGTCTTCGCTAAGCAACGGTCCGCTCACCTGCATATTCTCCTTCTCAACAAGCCACACACCCGCCATACGCCCCGTACCAGCCACTCTCCCAACCCCCGCCCTATTCTGTCTATGGTCAAACACGGTAAACACACCCTCGCCCTTGCCGCGATTCTTCCGCTCCGAATGCGCAGCATCGATTATCGACACATCCATCTCTCCCGCATCTGCAACCAGCTCACAGTTAATCTTCTTCGCCATCTTCCCCTTGCCAGCCTCAACCGAAACCCTTCCCCTCCTGGCCCTCACCCCCCCGTTATCCTGCCCCATCGTCCATAGCCTCGACGATCTCGCGTCCCCTATCGTACTCGGCTTCACATCCTCCTTTCCTTCTAGCACGAGTACCTCCACCCCCACCCCCTCCCCCTCGTCCTCCACTGCCACAACCCGCGTCACCACACTCCCCGGAAGCTGACAAACCCCCGCTGCTCTGCCATCCAGCGGCAAGACTACAATCAGCGACCCAAACCCAACATCTAGCTCTGGCTCGCCCTTCTCCTTCCCACCAAATAGACTCCCCAAGACCCCTTCCTTCCCCGTCTTATGCATCAGCAGCACGCATACGCCCTCCCCTACTGCAAACCCGCCCACCACACACTTCCCCGGCACGTCCACCCTCGGCAGCCTCTTCTTGACCTCTCCCTCGCGCCCAACCTCCGTCACAAACACGCCTAGCACGCGCCCCGTCTGCGCACGGCTCAACCCAGGGACATACACGCTCTCGCCGACGCGTACCGGCGACGCCACCAGCTCGGTCGCGCGCGTCGAGACGAGCTCCTGACTGTCCGTGAGCACGGAGCCGAGGGCCGTCGTGCCCTTGGTGACGAGCGTGGCGACGTCGACGACAAACGGCAGGCTGCGGCGTCCCCAGGCGCACACGCGCCGCTTCGACCCCGCGGCCCACACGAACACGCCCTCGGACGAGGTGGCCTTCGGCTTGAGCGGCGCGTTCCAGCCGGTGAGCCCGGGCGTGCCGTACGTGCCGCGGTAGAGGCGGCGCGCCGCGGTAGTCTCGCGCAGGAAGGCGCGCGTGCGGATGAAGCGCGCGCGCAGCCAGACGTCGCCAGAGGCCTGCGCGGAGAGGGCGAGGATATAGCCGTCGCCGTCTAGCGGGTGCGAGAGGGGGTGGAGCGGGAGGGGGATGCTGTGGAGAAGAGTGGTGTTGTGCAGGGGCGTGGGGAAGGGGGGCGCGGTGGGAGGGAGGGAAGGCTCTTTGAGGGGCGGGGGGGCGCAGGCGTTAGGACGGGGGGAATGGATTGAGGAAGGGGCTGGGAGAGAGGGCGAGGGGAGGGGGAGGGGGAGAGGTGAAAGGAAAGCGATTGCAGAAGGCATTTGGACAAAGGTGGGAAGGTCAATTGGGAGCGGGAGGAGAGAGAATGGGTCGGGAGCTCAAGGGAGAAAGACGCGGAGATCGAGTAGCATCGAATATGGAGAAACGGTGATCCAAATTTACAACTGTTTATGAAACACGTCAAGGTCACGGCCTTGATACAGAGAAGAGTGGTAGAGAGAGAAAGAGAACGCACACCTTCCTGACCGCTACGAAATCATCCGCACCGAGCTTCCTCCCCCCGTCATCACGACCCGCTCCGTCTCCACCAGCCTACGCAGCGCCTCTCTCAGCTCCCCCGGCGCGATATCCGCGTCCGAGCTCTCCCGCAGCTTAGTCATCAGCTCTGCCGTCCGTACGTCGCCGCCGAGCTCGCCCAGCTTGTCCATCACCACCTTGCCCAGCAGCTCGGTCTTCCCCTCGGCGGCCCGGCTCTTCCCGGCCGCGAACAGGTTCATGTCGATGCGCCCCGTGTTCGGGTCGAACGCCGCCATGTGCAACGCCGACTTGACCAGCCGGATCGCCTCCGCCACGTCGCCTCCGTCCACCTCGTCCTTGAGCTGCATGCGTGCGTGCGCCTCCGCCAGTCGGATCAGCGACTCCAGCTGCCGCGGTGTCGCCGTCATGTTGGACCCTCCCCGCCCGCCGCGCCGCATTTCCAAGTAGCCAGCGACTAGCGCTTCGCTCGCCTCTTCGGACAGCACCGGGTCCACTTTTTCGCGCGCGTACGCCATGTATTCCGTCAGCGTCTGGTTGTCCAACAGTTCGTTGCTGCCGTACTGGGGCGCCTCGGGAACGAGGTCTGCATCTTCGTTGTCCGCGTCGGCAGTCGTTTCTTGGTTGTTTCCGTCTTCGTAATTCTTGAAAAAGAGCGACACGATGTGCTGTGCGAGCCTGCGATCCGAGTCTGCGTCGGGCGCGTCGAGCACTAGGTAGATCAGGTCGAACCTCGAGAGCAGCGTTGGTGGCAGGTCGATGTTGTCGACAACGCTCTTGGACGTGTCGTACCGCGAGTTGACGGGGTTGGCCGCCGCCAGCACCGCCGTGCGCGCGTTGAGCGTCGCAATAATCCCGGCCTTGGCGATTGACACCGTCTGCTGCTCCATCGCCTCATGCAGCACGGACCGGGCAAACTCCGACATCTTGTCAAACTCGTCGATGCAGCATACGCCCCGGTCCGACAGAACCAGCGCCCCGGATTCCAGCACGTAATCGTCCGTGTCGGGGTCCCGCGTCACGTACGCGGTCAGTCCCACAGCAGAGGAGCCCCGCCCGGAGGTGTACACGCCGCGTGGGGCGAGCCGGTGCGCAGAGTGCAGGAGCTGCGATTTCGACGTTCCGGGGTCGCCGACCAGCAGCACGTTGATAGCGGAGCGGAACCGGGACGAACCGTCGGAGAGCGTTTCGTTGTTGGCCTGCCCGGCTTGTGATTTGCTCGACCCCCCAAAGAGCTGCAGGAGGACGCCTTTCTTCTCGTCTGTCATGCCAAAGATGCTGGGCGCGAGGCTGTTTGCCAGACGTTCGTAGAGCGCGGGGTGGCAAGCGAGCGTTTCAAAGTAGTCGCGGCGGGCGCGCTTCTGCTCTTCCGTGTACGCTTCCTTGCCCATGTTGACAGTGGCGCCGTCCTCGCCGGTGGCGGTGGGGTTCCCCAGGGCATCCTTCTCGCCGAACGCGGCACGCGAGCCGTCGGCAAGGGCGCGGGACTGGTTGTTGCTGAGGGTGCGCATGTGGACGCAATCAATGTACGTGCGGTACACGGAGCGCACGGTGCGCATCTTGGCGTTGAGGCGGATAGGAGTGGCACGCAGAATGCCAGTGACTTCAACGCGGTCGCCGGGCTTAACAACATCGACGAGGGTGTCGTACATGATGAGTGTGAAGGTAGCGGGGGTATCGCCCTTGGGAATGTCCTCGGGTGACTCCTGCAAGCGCACTGTCTGCTTGTCGGCGAAGGTGGAGCGCGAGTGGATGAGAGCGAAGGAGTCGCGAGTGTTGCACGAGGGGCAGATGCGCGGCTCCTCGATGCGTCCGTGCTGGATCTCGACGTCCTTCATGGCGCTGCACTTGGAGCAGCGGTACATGGCGCGCTGGATGTCCGGGATGATGTTGGACGCGCGGATGACCATGCCGCGCACAGCGATCATGGTGGAGATGTCCTTCGGGTTGAGGTCGCGCATCGACTGCACGTGCTGCTGCTGCAGGTTGAACGTGCGGACCTGCAAGTCGCTGCGGCGGCGCTCCCGGATGGCGACGGCCTCCCCCGGATGGTGGTCCGCAAACACCTTGGACACGACAGAGTCGAAGACAGCGATCAAGTCATTAGGGTATGCGATGAGCTTGCGGTACATGCCCGGGTCTGCCTGGTACAGGTGGGACATATCAATGTTAACGACAACGCCGCCCGTCTCTGCGAGGTGCTGCAGCAAGTCGATGTACAGCGGCTTGGCAGCCTCGCCCGCGTCGGGCAGGGCAAACGTGGTGAGGAATGTGGCCAGGCGGCGCTCGGCGTCGTCCAGGTTGATGGTGGTTCCCCACAAGACGAGCTGCTGCTCCTGCGAGGGGTCGGCGGGCGACTGCGGCGCGCGCCCCTGTGACGCGGCGGGCGAAGTCGACGGGCGGCGCGCCAGGCGCACGGGCGAGACGCCCAGCTCGCGCCGGTGCGAGAGCGGGGTCAGCGGCAGCGGGGTGGCATTGACGATCTCGTCCGGCGTGGCCGCCGGCGTCGGCGTGGCCGCGCCCAGGCCGGAGGCAGCTGCGGCGGCCGCCGCCGCCGCTGTGGAGCGGCTCGGGCCGGGCGGCGGCCGGTTCGGGGTTACGGGTGGGTTTGCGGAGGGGGAGGTGGCGGCGGGCGCGGCCGGCGGGGTCGCCGTGGGTGGGTCCGGCGTCGGGGTGGACTGCGGCTCGGATGGGGAGGGCGGGTGGTTGTTGTCGGGTTGGTCGGCCATTTTGGGTGGGGATTACTAGAGGGATGAGATAGGGGTCGGGGCGTGGTCGATGACCGAAGTTAGGGGGTTGCACAAGCGCGGGTGGAGGGGAGGGGAGAGGGTGGTGAGATAGATGATGTTGTCAGGGATGCGAGGGATGCAATATGGCGGGAAGCGGGATGTCGTTCCGGCTCGTACTCGAGGGGTGAGTAGGAGCACGTAGTTCGGTTTCAGCTCTTTCCCGCCAAAAATGGGCGGGAAGGACCGGCCAATCATCGGACGGAAGTAAAACGCGTGTACACGTGTCCAGCGTTGCGCGTATTGAGCGTGGACTACGTAGTACACGTGGCAATAACGTCGGAAGGGTGGCATCACCGGGGAAGTTGGTCTGCTCGAGCGTGAGCTCAAAGTTGAGTGCCGAGAGAACTGTGACGAGTCCGCCACCGCCGAATCCGAGGTCCATCACCTCAGGTCAAGCATGTCAATTCACGCCACCGCCCCGCCGTTGCACGGCCATCCGATGCCTGCGTCCGCCGTCTGCTTCGCGGCGTGCGCGGCGCCGCTTTCCGGCCGCGCGTCGCTGCGCGGCGGGTCCGACTCTGTTCACTCCCTTGAGCTTACGCAAGCTATCGTAAATGTCTGCTAATTGTGTCTCTGGCGGTGTTCCTTCCATGAGGACATGCAGTGTCTCCTTTGCAAGCCTCGCAGTTGTCATGACGACAATCACAGCGAACAACAGAGTGCAGAATGGGTCAATAAATGACCAATGTGGTTTCAC